ACTTTGTAAGTTCAATGTAGGGGAGGAACAGACTTTCCTCTACCTCGAGGTTCTTTGGGCTGGTCTAATAATCAAATAGACATGAGACAGATTAATAAGAGAAAATAATCAAATCTTCTTTTGAATCCACATGCATGCGAAATTCAGAGACAGTGAGGGACAATGGGTATATGAGATGTTCAGAGCTAGGGATGAGGTAAGGTACATTCACTGGGTTTCAGAGGTGCTTGTAGGGAAAGCACTTGTTCTGCAATTACAGCTTGCTCTGCCATATCCTCAGGTACAAGGCTTTCTGATTTTAACTATTATCATGGGCCAAGCTCCTAATTTAAATTCTTCTAGATAGTTAAGGGAGGGGGAGCAGAAACTTCTCTTATGCCTGCAGAGTCTCAGATGCCTTTAGCTCAAAACAGTCTGCCTACCATTGAGGCACATCTTGGGCTAGCTCATTCTGAACCCCTACAGTGGCAGCTCTAAAGACGTCAGCATAGGTTAAAAATTAAGTGTGGGTTTTTTGGACAGTTTAAGGCCTAATTTTCCACCATTTATTATTTTATGACCTTCAGCAAATTACATAATATCTCAATTTTCTCATCTGTGATAGAGAAGTAATAATAGTATCTATTTCATACAGTTTTGGCATCAATTAAATGAGCCACTGAAAAAAGGCTGCTTATAGCAATGTGACTGTTCACTGCCAAAGTGGTCCCCCTCGGGCTCAAGGAAATTGGCTCCCTACAGATTTCCAGGTGTTCTTTGATCTGCTGCATTCAAGTTTGTCTTCAGGAGAAATTGGTCATAGACCCAGAGTTGAGCCTTTTACCAATGTTGCCTAAGAAGGTCTAAAGCACTTTTAAAGTGGTATTAACCTCCGTTCATATTTCTAGTTTTTCATATAACTTAATAATTTAGAATATTATTTTAAAATTTGATCCATTCTTAAGAATAATTCCTTTTCTCTTTCAACATCAAAATATTTTCTAGAGGACCATCTTTAATGATGAAATGTGGAACTTTTCTCATATTTTAGTTTACCCAACATAAAATCATCTTTTCTTTCTTTCTTTCTTTCTTTTTTCCCATATGCCCTTTGTTATGTCTTGGTACAAGTCACTTGGTACAAATCTTTTTAAAAACAAATCTTTTAAATTTTCTTGACTATGAATCTACAAAAGTATATATTATATTTCTTTTATTTTTTTAAACAAATTTTCTCATTCTGTTATTATTTCTGCAATCCATCAGGAAAACTTAACTTCCTGATGAGTCTAAGCATTGCTTAGTCTCTTGAAGCTTAAAGATAGTAATATAAAATGTATTCTTTAATGTGTTCAGTATTCTTGAGCCCTAGCCAAACCTTTCAAGATTTTGTGAAATTTTCAAGCACTCTATGACCTCATATATTATTACATTTAGATGTTCTCCAAGATATTGTTGTAAATCATGTCACCATTCCAATCTCCTTTCCAATAATATATAATATATATTGAGATATATGTAGCAACTAGATTTTACTAAACTAGCACTAGACTTCAGAGTTCTTAAATTACTCTTGCTTAATCACACATGATAAAATAATCTCTAAGCTTATATTTTATAGCAATGAATGGCAGTCACAAGTGCTGGTACCACTCAAGACATCCTTTATTAGAACTACTCTTTATGTATTCTTACACACCAGCCTCCTTATTTTTCCTTGAAAACACAGAGCATGCTTCTTCCTTTGGGTTATTTGCTTTAACTGCCTAACCAGAACATTATTCCCCCAGTTCGTATGATTCGTATTTCCTGACCTTCAAAAATGGATTCAGCCCTGGCCGGTTTGGCTCAGCAGTTAGAGCGTCGGCCTGCGGTCCAGAGAGACCCGGGTTCGGTTCCCACTAAGGGCATGTACCTTGGTTGTAGTTTGTCCCCCGCCCTGGTTGGGTCGTGCGGGTGGCAGCCGCTCGATGTTTCCTTTTCACGTCGATGTTTCTCTCTCTCTCTCTCTCCTTCCCACTCCATCTGAACAAAAAATGAAAAGGTGTCCACGGGTGAGGATAAAAAAAAAAAAAATGAATTCAAATGTTACTTTCTCTTTTTTTTTTTCCTCCAATTTTTATTAATTTATTTTTGTTACAGAAGTTTCTCCTGTTTCCTCCCTGGACCCCTTCCTCCCCACCTCATCCCCCCCCCTTCCCAGCACTGTTGTCTACGTCCATTGGTTATACTTATTACATGCATCTAAAGTTCAAATGTTACTTTCTTAAATCCCTATTTAAAATGGCAACCTGACCCCCACATCACATACTCTATTCCCGTGACTCAGCTCTTTTTTTCTCATAGCATCTATCACTTTCTAATATACAATATTATTTACCTCTTAAGTAATTAGTATCTGTCCACCCCAGCCAATAGGTATATGCCAGGAAGCAGAGATGTTTGTTTCATTCATCAATGTATTCCTAGTTTCTAGGTAAAGAATCAGCACATTGTTTTTGTAAAAGGCCAAACAATAGAGATTTAGGCATTGTGGGTCATACAGTTTTTTGTGTTTTTTTTTTTTTTTTTTTTTTGTCTCAACTAAACTGTCACTGTGGCCTGAAAGCAGCTATAGGAATATATAAACAATGGGAATGGCTGTGCTCCAATAAGATGTGTTCACCAAAAGAGAATGTAGGCTGTATTTGGCTATAGTTTGCTGTTAATGTTTGGTACATGGAAGCTTTTAATAAGCATGTGTTGAATGAATTAAATACATGTATTGAAACTAAACATATTAACATGTGATCATACATTACTTAACAAGTGTGCCTCTTCTTTCACTCTAAAATGGATAGTCATTTCTTCTCAGCTAAAATATTTAATCTGGCCTTGCTCCCCATCTTAAACAATAGAGTTCCTCATTCCATTAAAACTAAAATGTGTTCTTATATATGACATAGTAACGAGGGTACAATAGGGTAATTAGAATCGTAATAAGCAGTAGTCAATGGCTGTCCTGGGTCAGAGGACAGTGAAACCTTCAGTACAAGATTAGACTTAAGTAGCTTCATTAGTATTTATTTTTTTTTAATTTAATTCCGAACAACAAAGCATTTCTTCAGCATTTTAATAAATCATAATTTCTAAGGTGTATAATTTTTTTTTTACTTAAACTGTGAAAATTAGAGATTTTCTTATTTCTTGAGTTAGATGTAAACCAGAAATTGTGGCAGTGGACTTGCAGGTATTATCTCCTTACTCTGGAGCACATTTTTAGGCAGCAACACAAAATGGGGAGCAGTTAGTGTTATAGTGCTATATGGCTATTTAAAGGTGTTATTTATGAGTGTTGTTGATGCTAAGGTCCTAAGTGTTCAACATAAAAAAGGAAGGGGGGTAGCTTTGTCTAATCATAGAAGAACACTGAGTTTATTCTATAACAAACTGAAAGGTGGCTTGGTGACCAAAAATGAATTCATTATGTCATATAAATTTTTTTTTGAAATCCACTGGGTCGTTGTTGCTCATACCTTCAGGAGATTTCTGCATTGCCCAAGAACTCTAAGATGATTGTGTGTGCTAATTCTAAATAGGAGTATGTGTGTTTATGTGTAGAAACTCTTCAGAATAAGAGGGAAGTGTTTCCATCTTGAAGAAAGAGGCATCAATTATAGATGTGGGAAAAGTTTAGGAATGACATCTATCCTCTCAGAACCTAACAGTTTACTATCTTTGGAATACTATGCAGCTGTGAAAAAAAGGATCTCTTGCCCCTTGAGACGGCAGGGATGGACTTGGAGATTATTATGCTAAGCAAAATAAGCCAGTCAGAGAAAGGCAAATCTCATATGATCTCACTTATATGTAAAATCGAATGAACAAAATAAATCGATGAACAAAATACACGAAAGCATGGAACAGATTGACAGATCTCAGAGGGAAGGGAGGTGGGAAGAAAAGAGATTAAACAAAGATATTACAGGCAAATATGCATAACCCATGGACACAGAAAATAGATGGAGGCCTGGAGTGGGGCAGGAGCTGAGTAGAGGGGGGCAAGGGGGGGAAATGGGGTACATTTGTAATACTGCCAAAAATAAAAATAAATTTTAAAAGAACTATAAAAGGTAGTATAAATATATTCTAAGGAAATGTCCATTTTCCCCACAGGATAAAAAATGCAATGAATGAAATCCCTTCTTTTTCCAAGCTTGCCTGATACCTCAAAAATTCTAAAGTAAACTATTTTGTTTTTCTAGTTACTATCAGATAAATGTGCAAACTTATTTAAAGTGACTTCAATTTACTTACAATTTATACTTGCTAGTATGAATTAACTCCCAACAGAAGACCTAATCATGGTCAATTAATAGATCATGATAGTTTATGGTTATATGGATGGCGAACATTTTTTGGAAAACATCTCTGAGAAACACTGGGGTAAGTAGCACAAGTAAAACAAAGGAAAGCTACATTTTAAAAATCTTTTTCTTGATTTTAGAGAAGGAAGAGAGAGAGAGAGAGCACATCAACTGGTTGCTTCCCATATGTACCCCAGTGAGAGATCAAACCTGCAACCTGGGCATGTACCCTAACGGGAATGGAACCAGCAACCTTCTGGTGCACAGGACAACGCTCAACCAGCTGAGCCACACCGGCCAGGGCCAGGCACATGTTTCAGTCCTCAAGATTTTGCCACTAATTGCAAACACAGAATCAGAATTTTAGGTTCTTACCAAGGATGAGCACTTTGACCTTTTTTCGCCAACCATGGCTTACTTATCCTTGTAAGAGCTTTGCCTGAAGTGCATGGAAGTCTTTCTGGTCCTCTAAATGGTCAGAATTTTACCCTTGATCCAATTTAGCATGAAATAATCTATGTACTTGTACTCCATTATTTTGGCTACTTATGGAACTTTTTTCTCTGACTCGACATTCACTACCATGTTATTTACACACTGAGCTAGATGGCTCCTTAACTTCGGGCCACTATGAATCTTCAAGTTGAACATGTTTCTTTTTATTTATTAATTTTTTAAAATATGGAACGCTTCACGAATTTGTGCTTCATCCTTGCGCAGGGACCCTGCTAATCTTCCCTGTATGATTCCACTTTTAGTACATGTGCTGTCGAAGCGAACACCATGTTTTTCTTTTAGATTTTGATCACTAGTTCAAGTGTGCAGCTCGTCTACTGATTGTACATAACCATCTGGCATGCTGTTCTGTGCAGTAATCTTGTTCCTCCCCTTTTGATTTTCCTGTTGCTTTGTTTCTCTAAGCATTCAGAAATTTAAAAATTTAAACCATCCTATTTATGAATCACTCTGGAATAATATCAGTTTCTATTTTGTACATAAAGTCTTTGTGGATTATTCTGTTAATTATATATAGCAGGTTTTCAAATCCTTTGTGGATGACTGTATCAGCCATGGTCCTCAATAGGTAGACATTGCAGTGTAATTTGAACAGAAGTTAATATAAAGAATTATTAACTGTGTTTGTAGCTCCAGGTAATGTAGCATTAGCTAGTATATGGAAGAGAACTCTAAGGAGTATAGAAATAGCAGATATAAGGAGCAGCCACTGTTCCTAAGACTGAGATAAAACAGCTACAGAAGAGTCCCCCCACCTCTAGGTGAGATGTAGACCTTGCTGGAGAAAGCACAGCTCTGGCTCACTGAATGGCAGGGAAGTCAGCATGGTGCTGCCCTGGCAGAACTGACTGGAAGTCTGTCCTCTGGTCCTTATGGAACTTCACCTGTAGAATGCTGGGCAGAGCTGTTCCTGGGGACTAGACTGGTGGAGACACTCTTCTACAAGACTAGCTAGGCAGGTTGCTGGGGGCAGCTTCTGGCCACTGAGTGTCGTGGGCAGTCATGCACTGGGGGCAGGGCAGTAGGGCACCCTGGCACTGCAGGAGCCGGGGCCTCAGAGACGCCTCAGCTCTCGGAGCCTTGCTCTCAAGGAGTTTCTCACATTACAGAAGCCTGTTGGAAGAGCACATTAGAACCAGGAAAGAAAACATCTTTCTCCAGCAATGTAGCACCTCCACTGGTCAAGATTAACATGCTAGTTGGCAGAGGAAGATTTGAAGTTCCAACTGAATATTTACACAACAGGCAATGACAGTGAAATTTGAGGCTGAGAGACTCCAAATGAACTGACAACTGGCACAAAGTTTCTGTCATGAACAAATAATTACTTGTATCTTTGCCTTAAATTGATTACACAGAAAACCCTCAATAGGTTCTGCAACTTGAAGCAAAACTAGGAATAACGAAACCAATTTTACCTTAGGCTTATAGACATAAACAACTTCCTATGGCATCTCATCAACATGATGACAAAATGACTTTATTCAAGGACCTGCTGTAAGTGATTTGCTGAATAATCTACAAAGACTTTATGTATTAAAAAGAAACATAATTTTATTGTAGATCAATTAATAGATGTGATAGTTTAGAGCTCTCTCTAGGTTCTGGCAAATGTAGTTATTTCCCCAAAGCTAGTAATTTGAGAGGACCCTGAACTGCTTTCAAGATCAAACACCTGCGGTTGCACCTTCATTCGGGACCCTTCATTCAGGATGGCTTTGGGCGTGAGCCAGAGGGAATGCAAACAGAGCATGAAATAAAAAAGTCCAAGCTTTCATCATATAAACAATAAAAACCAACAACAAAACAGAAAAACAACAAAACCTTGAGGCCCTTCTCCTGTCTCTGATCCTCTCTCACTTCTTTACTGGCTTTTTCTCTGTAAGGTTTGCATTTTTCAGGATTGGAGCGATGAAAGTGTGTACGTGGAATGGGTGATTTTCCTATAAAGCAGTACCTTTCAGAAATGGTCATTTTCAAGAATTTTAAAATACAAATCTTAGAAAACAAAGAAACTCTGAACCAAAGCAGTGCTGCTATAATTTGTTTTACTAATAAATAAGTTCAAGAAAACCAGACAAGATGTAGGTATAAACCAAAATCATAATTAAAAATCCAATTTAACATTTAAGCTAAGAATGAATTATTTCTGCTAAATTATTGATTCATTTCATATGGCTACCCTGTGTTTTCTCTTTGCTTTTGCTTTAACCTTTACATCTGAAAAACACATATTTAGCTATATAAGCCAATACCTATAAAGATCACATTTCATTAAGTAAAGATTTTATGTATTAAAATAAAAACAACTGGGAAATGAACATATTGGTTTAAACTAAAAGTGTGTGAAAGAACAAGCCTATAGTTTGGATAGTTCTGAGAAATAATGCATAGGGTTTCTAATTTCTTGTCTTTTATCTCACATTTCACAAACATCAGTGTCCGTATTAGTATGGCATTGATGGTTGTTGAGGTGATAAAACGAATCCAAATTGGCTTAGGGAAAATGTATTTGCTCATGAAATCCAAGGAAAGGTACAGTGATAAGCGATAGTGGGGAGGGGATGCAACCCAATTATTCCAAGTATACAAATCAATAAACCCTTCCATCCATGAGATATTTTTTAGCACTCACCGTCAGTACTCTCTCTCTCAAAAGAGAGCCCTGAAGAGTACAGAGCATAGCACCTGACCTCCAGACCTCACTGAATTGTAAATATCATACTTCAGTTTAACAGATGTGCAGTGAGCTCCTGATGTATTCCAGTGACTCTTCAAGGAGCTGGAGATACAAAAATCAGTAAGATAGTATCCAGTTTCCTACGGAAATAGTTGTTGATTTCCAGATACAATGGTTTTGAAATACTTCATGGATCTATTGGGATTTAATTAGGATCTTGAAGAAGAAATCATCTCTACTTCCATGATTAGATGAAGATTCATCATATTGCATTGATAGTGTAAACTGACATACAGTTCAGAAGAGAGGTTAAGCAATCTGCAGTGAATGGGAGTGGCTGGAATGTGCAAAGTTTAGGTATAGGTAGAGAGCTGAGGGTGCATCTTCCATGCATTAGAAGAGTATGTTTATTCAAAGTAGTTGCTTCACTCATATGCTAAACGGGAATATTTAAGTAGCTATTGCTTTGTTATCACTCAGATCATGTCTTATAAGCAATTACCCACTTTATGCTAAGGCCATTGTTTATGTTCCTCTTTTGCTTCAGGAAAACATGTACTGCCTACTGCCCAGGAACAGCAATACGCTTTTTAAAAAGTTCACTACATAGTCCTTCCGCCTGGAACAGTTCCCTGATTCTCTTGGAGACATAGGGCAGCTTTCACACTCAGTGGTGTAGGCGAACACAGCCTCGTTCTCCTGACCTTGTTGCTGGCTGAAAATCACATTCAGAATTTGTTTTTAATGGACAACTTATTGATATTCATTAGGGATTATTCCTCTGTTTCTAGGGTTACTACATTTGCGTTCTTTCCCTTGAGACCTCACAGCACCACTTTGCCTTTTCCTACTCACTCAGCCTCCAGTGAACCCGGAGGGCCAGGCCGAGCTGGGCACCCCACTGCTCTCTGCCCAATCATTTAGTTTTTAATTTTAATTTTTAGAATTAGTCTACTGGGCTGAATGTAAAGTTATTAAATGTAAATATTTTGTTTCTTATGTCACTTACTATAGTAAGAATTAAAGCCAAAGGACAAATCTGACCATTAATAAATCTTATAGCTGGTTTCCACGGTAACGCTTTTTAAAAATATTTTTATGTAGTGCAATTATTCAGAGTTCTTCAGTCATTTTTAAGTCATTTTTAAGTTTTCATTTACAGTTGACATACAATACAGTCGTCCCTCGTTTATCGTGGTTAATCCATTCCAGGCTCTAGCAGTTGCACCTGTCGTTGAAGGATTTGCAGGGGTACTTGAATACATAGGCCTACGGTCCCTACATACAGTAATTTTAATTGTAATACAGGGGTGTATAATTGACTCAGACAACCATGTTATATCATTTTTACTGTCTCAATCAACTTTTTAATGAATATATTTGAAAAAAACCGCGATATGGTGAAGCCACGAAAGTTGAAGTGCAAAGTGGTGAGGGACAACTGTATTATGTTAGTTTTAGGTGTTTAGCCCAGTGATTAGATATAACAGAACTTACTAAGTGTTTATCCAAAAAAATCTCATACCCATCTGCACCATACATAGGTATTACAAATATTATATATATATATATATATATATATATATATATATATATATTTATTTATCCTTACCCAAGGATATTTTTCCACTTTTTGTTCAGACAGAGTGGGAGGGAGAGAGAGGAAGAGAGAAAGAAACATCAACGTGAAAGGGACACATCGAGTGGCTGCCACCTGCACGACCAACCAGGGCTGGGGACAAACTGCAACCGAGGTACATGCCCTTAGTGGGAACCGAACCCGGGTCTCTCTGGACTACAGGCCAACGCTCTAACTGCTGAGCCAAACCAGCCAGGGCTGATATAACAATATTATTGACTATATTCCCTATGCTGTACATTACCTCCCCGTGATCTTCTGTTCAATAATTTTCACTAAAATAATTTTCTGTCTGCTTTTTACACCTAAATATGCAAGAAAAATGAGTGTGACAATTAGGATGAGTTTTGTGGAGAATAAAGTATTTTATAACTTTATCCATTTCTCTGGGGTAGCATGGCATGTTTTATAACATGTTATAATATTACTTATATGTTAGTGTGACTTTTCCAGCTTAAAGTGATATCTGTATAGGAAAATAATGCATAGAAAATAATGCATAAAATTGCATTTCTTATGTTGAGCACATAAAAGTTGCAGTAGCAAGAACGTATAATCTGATATCGGTATATAATTTAAATGTATTTTGTTACTGCATTTAATCCATGCAAATACTATCCGGAACTGATAAAACAGATACATTTTTCTTAGGGAATGATTCTGCCCTATACAATTGTTTATCATCCTTGCCTGCTATGGAGTGAAGGGAGACAGGGAGAGAAGGAGGAAGATCTGTAAGAAATAGTGGCTGTATCAGACTCACGTAAAAGGCAACCATATACAGCTCTTGAGAAATAACTAAGATATCAAAAGAAATGAGAAACCACTTGACACCCACTAGGATGACTATAATTTTGAAAAAAAGATGGACAATAACTAATTCTGACAAGGATGTGGATACATTAGAATCCTCATACATTGCTAGTGGGAATGTAAAATGCTGCAAC